GTAATTTTGATGACGAATTCATAACAATCATGTTTTCTAAAAAAGCAAAAAAAATACATTACAAATGTTGTCAGCAAATAAAGCGGTGCTTAAGTTTGGATGCAAGTCATATAACAAATAAAAGATTTTGTTTAAGAGAAAAGTATTGTTAAATATTTAATCTTCAAGAACATTCTCAATTTGAATGATTTCGAACGTTGATAACAAGAAACAAGAAACATCATTCTACTTAAAGATGTTCATTCTACAAGAACAAAATAAAATTCATCCAAACAATAATGAATTAGTCTTTGAATTCTACTTCTTACCAAAATACTCTTGGAGCTTTTAACAATTATGTAAAATGTATACCATGAAAAACTTGTTGTTAAAGTTCTTTATAAAAATAAAAATAAAAATAAACGGAAAACAAAAAATGACTTGACTCGCTCAGTTCTGACTTTTAATACCTAATTTCAACCAACTTCTCGATATCATAGGTTCTACTAATACCCCATCCATCATTCAGTAACATCTGATAGAATCATATTATCAAATATATAGAGCTTTCTAAACTATCTCGAATATCAATTTTTACAGTTCATTTTGATTATTCTATGAGTTTCTCTTTAAATGAAAACAACTTCAATGTAGATTATAAATTAACTCATTCTAAATAAAAGTACTCTGATAAAACTCGCCTGCAATGTTTGACTAAACAACCTGTTTGTAATTATGAAGAATAAGAAATAAACGTAATACTAGCTAGAAGCAATGTTATGAATATGAAAAATATACAGTATACCCGAAGAGTTCCTTCACAAAAATTTTTTCGCATATATTTATTACTATTCGATTCAATTTTATCAGCTAATTTTTTTAATGATAGATCCATACACCGAGGTTTTAGTAGATACGAGCAAATTTTAAAAGCACTCCTCAAACCTATCACTGCTAATCGAAATACAAAAATTAAGCCTTTTTATACCGATTCGTTTTACATTAGTCTGATTTCTTGAATCATGCTGATCTTTTAATTGTTCAAATCTTTAATAATCATTTTAAAGACATTTATTTTTATATGTTCCTATTAAATGAAATCCGATGGTACTAAGTCTAGTAATCATTAAACTCATGAGATTGATCCTTGTCTTCTAAACCACTGATCATCAAACCTATTGGTCAGCCAGACGCGAACTGCTTTTGAAAAACTTCCTGATGTCCTATATTGCTGAAAAACCACTTTTTTTTAAGTAACTCTTTTCTTTTTCTATAGAATTAGGTAAAAGAAGTTTTGGAGAATGCCAAGGCTATTTTGTTGATCAATCGTTGCACCATGGTCATCAATCGTTGGATTATCAAAAAAAAATGATCCAACGATCGGTTTGCTTGATATTACACATCACGCAGTAAGCTCTGGTAAGTGCGTTGCAAGTTCGAAGCGGCACACGGATCCTTTTCAGTTCAAATACGGCAGCTGTGTTTATTAGCCGATGTAGAGGGAGAATGTATGGATAACATACAAGCAAATTCAGCAATTGAAAAGTAATCATTCTATGTTTTTCTTTAAATAGAAAAAAGGCTAAATTTTTGTATTTCGGTTAGAACTAATAGTTTGGAAGAGTGCTTTTGATGTTTACTCATATAAGTAAAAGCTCGATGTGTGGACCTATCACTTAAAAAACTTAATTGACAAAGCTGAATTACGAGTAGTAAAAATATACGAAGACAAATCATCGAAGAACTGAGATATATAGGACCAGAAATTGGTCCACCGACTTTTTTCTTTAGAATACATTGATAAAAGTATAGATTTTACCATTAGATCTAGGACAGTTCCAGCTCATCAGCTCACATGTCGGTAGTTTTTCAGACTCAAAGTGGTACATACATCATTGTATGATTTTTTTAAAATTTTATCAAATGGGTACTGGCTACGAATATTTTATTAAATATCAATCAAATTCTTGCTACTATTCTTTATTCATAGAAAAGCGACCATTTTTTTAATTGATTACTAATGTTAATTCAACTCAATCATTAACGCTCAACTGATAATTCTCTCTAGCTTAAATTCAGTCGAACTGAAACGGGTTGAGTTTGGTCGTTGTCTAGGGGGCAGTCGATGAAGTTCTTAAGTGATAATTGTTTGTAGGAATCCAGGCGAGCAAAGGACAGGTAAAAAGACTAGTCGTTTTTCTAGTCATGACTATATGTCAGGTCTAGTCTTTTTCTCAAAAATTCCTAGTACAAGACTAGTCTGAAATCGTTTAGCGTCTATAGACCCCATATTGACTAGGCAACTGACTAGCATCATTCTATTTGTTATGTTTAGTCTTTTTTGCAAGAAAGACTAGACATGTTTCGCCGTCCAAAATAGATTTAAAGCCGAAAAAGGAAGGACATCCACGAAGCTGCATCTAACAGACTGTAGTCTTATGTAGTGGTCTAGTCCAAATTAGTCTAAATAATAGAAGTATAAGGTAGAAGGTTATATTTGAACATGCATACAATATATAATTTACCCATCGTTTAATCGATTGAACCATACGATAAAGTAATCAACTCCTATATGTCAATACATATTTTAAGATACTATTTAACACAGTTTTACTCAGAGTTTTTCAAATTTTGATATGAATGAAACATATTTATCATAGAATCCAAAATTATTTAGGTAAGGCTGGATAAAATTAATTTAGAATGTTTTTGTCTTTTTCAAAAATTTTTTTTTTGATATAATGATTTATGTTTATTTTAATTCTAAACATTGCCAATTTCAGTTTGAAATTAGACTGAACTCCACAATTGAAATCCATTTTTGAATTCACATTACCAGAATTAATACTTGAAATAAAATATAATTTCTATATAAAGATATTAAAATTATTTCTTAAATAAAACAATTCTTAATTGTTGTTACAGTCTAGAAATTTTAAAGAACATAAATAGGCAATGCTCACTAAGACGTAGACAGCTGCTTTGTAATTCTATCTACTTTTTTTGTGCTTCAACATATTTTGTAGTTTTAGGATAAAACGTAGAACATTTTTATTTCTATAAGGATCTACGATCCCTATATTTTGAAATAGACCAGTCAAAAATTCGACCAACTCTTGACGTCACTGCAAATTTTAGGAGTTTCCTCTTATTGAAAATAATAACAAGACGATGATTATTTTACTATCTGATTTATATTCTAAAGACATCTAATTCTCAATCAGATATTGTAAGAAATAGTAAAAATACTCAAAAGTCTCCTGCACTACATTATACATCTTTCTAGTTTCAATAAGAATCAGTCTAAACAAGTTGTCTGGAAAATAAGATCGAAGCAAAATGAATTGTTTTGAAGAGTTTAGACTAGTTTGGACCAGAATTAACACTACTTTCTCAAAGTGAACTAGTCATGAGCAGTACAAATGACCTTTCAGACTAGTCTATATCACTATTGAAAACAGTCCAGATTAGCCAGGTATTCAATTTTGTCAAATTGAATGTTCGAATCCACCTATCATCATCTATCCTTCTGTCTTTTTTTGTTTCATTGACTAGTCTGGATAGTATGAATAGACAAAACGGACTAGTCATGACACGGTACGGGTACCTTCTAGACTAGTCTATGTTTAGTCACAGAGCGTTCCTCGTCAAGACGACCAATTCTGATGAATTGCAAGTCACTTCAGACTAGACCAGACGTGCGGACATTCCAGACTAATCATGTTGGGCGTTCTCTGTTATTTTTTGCTCGCCTGGGTATATATAATGGTTGAGTTTTTTGCAATAAACGATGTGTGTATCAGTTACATTCTTTTTTTGGAATCTTAGAACGTAAATATAGAAGGAATGACCAGTTCAAAATTGATTATTCTTCTATTTACATAGATTTTTTAAAATCTATCTCATTTCTAAATTGTCATGAATTCAATCAAACGACAATCGAGTACTGATGAATTATACGGTGGGACTTCAAAGAAATTATCCAGTAAGTTATTAATCTATGATTATTATACTTCTACAATTCATTCGATTATTTTTAGTGATGTTAGAGGAAAAAAGGTAAGAAAAATGATAAATATATAGTGTATTTTATTGTATTACGTAGTAAATCGATCATCAATATTGAAGCTCTCTCAAATGAAATTTTCTATGAAATCTTTGAATATCTTGATGGTTGTCATATATATAAAGCGTTTTCTAATCTCAATACTCGTTTTCAACAATTCTTCATTAATCCATTTATTCCTCTTAAATTTAAACTTTTTGCATATGAAAAATCAGATCTTGAAGATCTTTATAAATATATGATTATTCCAAACAAACATATAGTTATTTCACTTTCATTATTGAATGTATTAACTGTTAAGCAATTTTTTTCTTTGTACAACATTGATTTTTCCTTCAATCGCCTCCAGTCGCTTGTTTTACATGGAATTAAATTAGATAAACTTCTACCTCTTTTACTTGGTTTAACTTGTTTACCTCAGTTTTTTTCATTATTTATTTATCTCGATGATAATTCAAAAGATCTTACTGATTTATATCAATTAATATTTAATTTACCATTCTTAAATTATAATAAACTTGTATCAAATTCACATAGAAGATTGATTTCATTACCTATTGATGATATTCAACAATTTACTAATATTAAATATCTATTTATTAATCATTATTGTACTTGTGATAATTTATTTGATATATTGTTATATACACCTCAACTTTCTCGACTAAATGTGAAATATTTATGTCAAGTACATGATATCATTCCGAATGAAATGCCCATAATATTATCTAATTTAACACATATAACTATCGAAGAATTGGATTTGCCTTTTGATGTATTCGAAATATTCATCACGGAAATCACTTCTACATTACAAGTGTTATCTATCGGTATAAAATCTATAAATTTTACTTATCTCAATGCTAATCGATGGGAACAATTAATATCACAACATATACCTTATTTAAGCAAATTTCACTTTGAATATTATGAAAAGATACCAAGTTTGTCTAATGAGCATCATAATCTACTTAAACAATTTACAACATTTTTTTGGATTAAACAACAATTGTTCTTTGAAATTCACATCGATACGGCTGAATGGAGTGTTGAAGAAATTATCTTTTCCATTCATCCATATAGGTATATCAAGAAAACTTGTGTATAGTAATGGAATTTCGTATTTGTAGAACATGATCTAAAAGGAGTGTTGAAATATAGGGGTAGAAATTTGGATCTGTCTCCTTCAACATATCGTGACAGACGTTTGTCAGAAGCTGTTATAGATCCATGACATAGCCATGAAACCGAAGTCGACTGCGATTGTATTTAAGGTATATATCTTTTTTCCTTTTTATACATTCACTGTAATATGGTAAAGTTAACATCTTTCACCACGGATGTTCAAATAACAGTAGATAGATATTCATAAACCGAAATATATGTTGATAAATTACTTCATTTACAATGTTCGCCGTTTCATCATGTGTCACATTTTAATCGACCGCAGGAATTACGCGACACAGCTTTGTTATTTTAAATATAAAATACATAACAGCAATAATAGTTTTATCTTTCAAATAGACTTCCTGATTTGCATCCAGAACACGTGCTCAATTCTTCCATACTATCTTCTCAAGGTATTCAGCTTGTTATTAGCAGTATTGATGAAAGAGATCATGACTTTTTACTCAATGATTATATAAAATCTATTATTACTTCAACTAACATTACGTGTTTAACTATAAATAGTAATATGGTATCTTCTTGTGTATTGATCGAAATGTTGGAAATTTTACACAATCTTGATTCATTGACAATTTTATATTCGAGTCGGTTATTAAAATCACATGGATGCAGTCAAAAATCAAAACATCATAATTTATCGACTACTACGAATATTACAAAAGTCAATATGTGTCATGTGACAAAAATCGAACAAGTCAATTTTATTCTTAAGTTTTGTTCTCATATCCAACATTTACAAATAGAATGTACAAATGATATTGAACTATCATCACTTATTCGATTTATTTTTATTGAAAAGAATGCATATATTAAAGATCTTGTTTCATTATGTTTATGGATATGGAAAGTAAATGATGATATGATTCAAATATTACCGACAATAGTTGATGATGAACAAATACTTCATCAATATAGAATTGAACATATAAATGATAAAATTTATTTACAATTGAATGTACTTTAATTCATTTTCATTGTTTTTGTTTGGAAGTTGATTTAATTGTTTCAAACAAGAATGAATTAATAATAACTAACAAGATTTGTTGAGAAAAAACATATGTTCAGTTTACATTTGATAATAAAGATGTGCCATTTTCATTTTAATATAACTAATCGTATATAAATATAATAACACAATATCACAGTATTTTCAAAGGACACAAGTGTTTCTCCTCGTTTTCTCTGACAATATATATACAGTGTGGGTGTGGGTGGGTGTGGATGTGGCTGTGAGTGTGGGTGTAATTGTTCTCTTCAGCAAATTCCACCTATCCAACCAACACCCACACTCACACCCATACCCACACCCACACCTCACACCCACACCCACCCACACACCCATACCCACACCCATACACATCTACACACCCACCGAACAAGATTGAGAAAAATTCATTCAGTGACTGCTGGAATTCCAACCTCATTAAACAGTTTGTAGAAAATGTACGAAACGATTTTCAAAATTCTGTTCGGACAAAATTTGTGCCCAGCTAGTGCCTTTACTTTAAAACCATCTCAAACTCTGTGACTCTTTTAACAAGAAAGGCTTAGAACATTTTCTGAAGGCTATAAATAGACTGCTAGTAAGTCGAAACCATGATCTAGTTCGATATTTCGGGCTGAAATTGTTGCCAAGAAAGTTTCTCACTAGATGCTGGCGTAGATCATTAGCTTTTTACGATTTTCTACTAAAACGAAGA